TGGGGGTGTTGGGGGGTTGTATGGGGGTGTTTGGGGGGGCTATGGGGGTGTGGATGGGGTTATTTGAGGCTCTGGACCCAAAAGTAATAATAATAATAATAAAATTTGCGGGGTGCCTACCGGTCACCGACCGGTCAGCGCCGACGGCGCCTACCGTCGGCTGGTCGGCAGCCGACGGGTCCGGGGCCGCCGACCGTCGGTGTGACTACCTTGTCCAGAGGCAACTTAACTGAGTCTTGGGACCGTCAGCGTGCTTGATATTTTGGTTCATGAGAGAGACTTTGTCTCTGGCTGGTTTGCTGTCCTCAGCCACCAGTACACGGTCCCAGCCTTGTGGAGAAATCTTTCATCACACAATAAAATTTATCAGGCCCAGGGCAACCGGACGACAATGGCTGGTGGCGCCAGCCAAAAGAGAGAAGAAGTGAGCGGCTGGCCGTTTGGAAAAGCTTGGCGCGCAGTGGTAGGCCCCCAGGCCCGGGCGTACTGGTGGTTTAAACCACCAGTACATGCCAGCCATCGACCGCAGGTCCCTTTCAATAGCCGCCTGCCATCGATTTATTTCATCGGCGGTGCGCGAGCCTCCTACATTTTAGGAGAGGCTCAGTCAGACTCTCAACTCGGCTGGGTCCATGTACTGGTCCTTTAACAGCAGCGTGTACAGTCTAGACTCTTTGTTAGAGTATGGATTTCAAACTGTAAGATCCCAACGTGTAACTTCAAATTTTTGAGTGGATTTTCTGGATCATTATTTGCAGAGAGCTTAATCGGGCTTTTGCTCTGAATCAGGTTTTGTGCTTGGCTCTTGGGATTCTGGATGTTGGAATTGGTGTCATTAGGAGAATCTAGACCTTGTCATGCATCGCATTCAGACATTGTGCATGTTGATAGCTAACGTCGTTGTGCACTGATTCGGCTCTGGGCTTGATGTCTTCAGGCAGAAAGAGAGAGAATGGTGAAAGATATCAAGGTGAAGATCCAGGTAAGGTCACGCAATTTCAAGGACAAGGGAGGAGTTGGTCATCAACGGGGAATGGGACCCAAAGTTAATGAGGCTGGGTGTTGTCGGGTGTGGGAAAATGTGAGGGAGGTAGCTGCCTGTTAGAGGTAACATCTGTTGAAAGTCATTATGGCCTTTGGAACATGGACTTCTGCCATGGAGGTGAGAATTATCATTGATAGTTGAGCGGATGAAACTTCAGCCTTCAGATTCATGAAGACTGTGATTCCAATCGTTGATGGACCATCATAAGACAGAAATGATGGACCATCAGAAGACAGAAATGCAAAGCACACGAATGTACGAATGCAAATCGTAAGGCCAAAAAGCCATCATAACATAAAAATGCAAAGCACACCAATGTACAAGACCACAACAATCACAGCACAAGCGAAAAACTGCTGTCATAGCTGAGTTCCAAGATATCATGGACAGTGAGGACACTCAAAACCGGAAAGCGGTGCTACGCGCCCTCAGCGCCAGCATGCCGCACACCCAAGAACACAAACCCGGCCGCAGATGAGTCGTGTTGACGGCGAGGGTGGTTTTTCGAATGGAGAGGAATGCGAACAAAACGAAATTGAGCCCCAGATACTAGTAACCATAGGTTGTTTGTCTTGTCCCGAAACTTGCATGTAAGGTTAGTGGAACCAAAAGGAATGTCCAGAAGAATGGTGGATTGCAGAGGATTTAAGGTTCCTTGCAGCGGCAACCTAGCCCCAGAATGGCAGGGTGGAATTGCGGGGAGGGAGAGGATGTGGTCAGCATCTGTTCGGGAACGGGTGTGGAAAGTGAATGAAGGGCAAGTGGGGTGAGAAGAAAATCAAGGATAATATCTGATTGTGGTCTATAGGGCCACCAAAAAAAAAAGAAAGGAAAAATATGGAGGACATCATGTAGTCAGTATAGGGGCCGTCCACAGACTCTTACGTCGAAAAGGAAAGGGAGGAACAGCCTGTTTGTTTGTGCTTGTTTCCTACGGGTTTCTAGTTGTACGATGCCGCTCTCTGGTTCCACCTCGTTTAAGGTAGGGGCCCTCAGTTGTGCGATCTTGATCTGTCACATTGGGAATCTGGGACTCTATCAACGAAATTTGGAAACCGTGCTCGTGCTTGGATATGGGAGGAACACTCAGTCTAATACATGATTTTGACCAGATGATCTTAGGTACCAGCTGGAGATGCCGGGTATGCCGAGTAATGTTGTCTTTCAAATTGTATGTGTGATCTGATTGAGCCAATGCAGGCATGAGAAGAGGTAGGGAGAGTGAGTGAGGGGGTAGTTGGAGAGTCCAAGAAGGCTAAATGTTAGGTGTTCGAGAATATCCATCCACCGAGGGTCAGGTGGGTGTTCGCCACAAACCATGATCAATGTCCCTGAATGGAAGGTATGGTCATTATACCTGTACTTGCCCCAACTTTCTGTCCACATGCAGTGAGAATGGCAGTACGTTCTATTTGGGTGAAGATGGTTGTTAGCTCTGGACTAAACCACCAGCTGCAGGCTGTTAAAGGAAAGTAGAGGCAAAGATTAAATAAACCTGCTAGGAGTAAAGGGAGGGCTAGCTTTTGTCTGAGCTCTCTGTATGGTGGGATGAGGGGCTGTGGGCAGTTGCTCAGGTGAGTCAAGTCAGGACGGGTGGGCCGAAGCATTGGAATTGATGTGAAGGGGTGTTCTGGTGTGTGCCAGGTAGGTAGTAAGGGTGTAAAAGGGGGAGTTGGCAAGTGTTTTCCTCAAGGTCCAAATGTTTTCCACAAGCTCCACTGCAACAAGTGCTTTGTCGAAGTATTTGAACTGCCGAGTCATGCACTTCACAGGATGTCTGATATCTCTCTCTTGTCATTTTACTGTTCCTAAACCTTTTCTTAGCTTGGCCCTTATTTTCTAGGCTAGAACACGTTTTTAAATCGTAATGTGAGCCTGAACAATTTCTACAGCAGAGCGTGGGGCAGCCCCCTCCTTGTCCACACTCCATCGAAATGCTGCCCTACTGCATCCAGCCTACACATATCCCTAAAATACGGAGGCCTGCCCATGAGTGCTTACATCCCTGTAATGCATGTTGCTAGATGCTTGGACGTATGGTCTTTATGGTCAACCCCCAGCTTGACCCTATAATCAGGACACACAGGGTAACTCCCACATGTTCCAACCTTATATCAGTGGGTTTATCTCACGAGGTCCTTTTAGTGAAATGACAAATTTGTTATCTGAGAAATGCAACTGTCAGGTGATATCAGAAACAAGAGAGGGAGGTGTTACGATCCTGGCCATTTCCGAAGTGCAAATTCATAAGGAAAGACAATGCTACCCAATGCATGTGAGGAGCTACTCGCTCCTCCAGGAGATATCGCGGCCAGCCAGCCTCACAGCTGGTGACTTCCAGGGCTCACGGGCTCCAAGCGACCGGTACCTCCTCCCTTTCGGAAGGAAACATCATTGCAGGCTCTGATATCGTCCACACAGGCCCTGGACTCAGGCTGCTTGGACTGGTTCCCGCCTAGACCGAGACCTACTGCTACTGGGCCTCTAAAAATATGAACTTTTTTCTTCTTCTGCTAGGTCTACTGCCACTTGAGTGCTACAGCCTAGCCTACCCGCTACTTGAGTGTTTTTCCCTGCTGCCCCAAGCGTCGCGGGCGTACTACCCTTAAAGTCACGGCCACAGGTAAGTACCAGCCTGCAGGCCTGTCAAACACACAGTGCCCTGGTGGGCCACACACACACTCAAGCACTCAGGCATCCCGACAAACCCGCAGTAACCAGCAAACACACTCACACACAGACTTAGAAATCTCAGGAAACAGCAGGAATCTCAGCAGACACACAATTCAGCGGAAAAATCAGAAATCAGCACAGTTCTCAGTCTGTGATTTTGCAGGTGATTACAGTGTAAAAGAACTGAAGGGGTGATGCTGAAAGGTTGGCAGGCACATTTCTATTGATGATTGGAGATTTGGTGTGTTGTATGAACATGCAGGTCGTTTGCACATTACTTGGATGGCTGACGATGTTCGCGTGGGTGCTATGGACAGGGCTTGTGGCGCAAGTTCCTCCAGATCCAGGACGACCCATTGTATTCTTCAGAATTTGGCACCATTCATGGTAGACAAATTTCTCTCTCCTGCACCTTTGTTTCCCTTGCAAGAATCTGTGCATCATCTTGTAATGTGTGTCTCACGTCTTTTCAATGGTTTGATCAACCATGCACCTTGATGAGAATCCGTGTGCCCACCTCGGTATTTCTTCTTCTTTGTTGTCCTTTGATGAATCGCGGCCCGTGTCCTACTTCAACTCTATTCTTTTCGTGTTCTTCTTTGTGCTGGCCTCCCAGCTCAATGTTTAATCACATGGCCACATCATGCAGCCCCTTACTTCTTCTTCTTCTTCTTCTTCTTCTTCTTCTTCCTCTTCTTCCTCTTCTTCTTCTTCTTCTTCTTCTTCTTCTTCTTCTTCTTCTTCTTCTTCTTCTTCTTCTTCTTTGCCGTTGTCTTCTTCTACTTCTTTGTCAGGAGGTTACAGGAGGCGAGAAGCAAAAAGGTGCGTTCTTTTCCTTCAGGAGATTACAGGAGGGTAGAAAGAAAATTGCAGTTTTGGAAACTTGTGTGTTGCCTTTATTTGGATATCTGCAGTCCTGACTACCATTTCCAAATGACTTGATGAGAGACTTTCTAGAGCTGGGTGGCACCACGTATGCGTACATATGCGGGCGTACGCGTACATGCCCGGAAACCCGCATACACGTATGTATTCTTTTTCTCCTTTTTGTTAATAATACATGTATAGATTATCCCTACACTTATAGAAATCTTTATTTGGCGCGCAACATTTGGCTGATCCGCGCCGTCCGTGTCCTACCGGCCGACAGCCCGGATTTCCGTGCGATCTTAAGACTTTAAGACTAAGATCGCGCGGCGATACAGACCGTCCGCTTTGCCGGACGACCTCGATCGCCTCGCGTTGGGTCAGCGAACCGCTCCTTGAGGAGCTTGAGGAATTGAGAAAGAGGAGTAACTTTGGAATACGCAACCAGGTTGTTTTCACAACCGGCTGTACGCGCAAGAGA